AAATTTCAACTATAAATTTTTGACACAAAGAAAATTAAAGTAATCGATTGTGAAAACAGCGTTATTGTTTGCATCGTAACCTTCTATTCCTCATTTATATTTATATTTCAAATAAAAGAACAGCTGGCTTGAAATATCATAAAACATTAACATATATCGAGTGCTTTAAAGATAACAATACGAAGGACACTGGTTAATCGAAGGTAGAATACATTCTATACTTTCTGAAGAAATCAACGCAATGAATTAACCTGTGAATTTACCATAAATAACTAATTTGTTACTAAATTTAATGGAATAGTTTGTAGTTAAACTATTATAACAAAGATTCTGGCTATATAATCACTTAAGAATGGATAATTTTATTATTTCAATCTCATCTGCACAAACAAGCTTTCAGTGGTAAAACTCACAAGAAGTTAATTTTATAACAATGTATTGGGACTACTGAAATGGTATCTTTTATCAAATATACCTATAAGTCATTCGCTTATACCCCAGTGGCTCACCGTTAAGTCTGAAGACGTTATAGCACTGAAAACCGGGTTTTCTTACCCAGATAACCCTTTGTGTAGCTTTGTGCTTAACTACAAACAAACGAAAGTCATTCACTTTCATCTAAAGTTACTATTTGACTTATCACTGTTTAACATCAGGCCAAACGTGACTGATGAAGAAAGAATAAAATTTAACACGTGAATGAGCGTAAAACAAGAGAAACTATTTCAAAGGGATAAAAGTTAACTGCTCAATTTTATACCGGTTCAATCAGTAGTGACGTCGTAAATGGGTCTTTTGGGTAAGTCATTAGTCCATTGTCTTCAAGTTTTTCTGTTGTAGAATACAATCAGTTTCAACAGAATTGAATTCAAATACGTCATACTTGTTTTTAATTATACACTAACGGTGTTTAGTAGATAATTAATTAGGTACTAACAGTTTTCGTTTTATTTTTCAAGTATTGGGTTCTGAAGTCTCAGCTGTTTATGTCTTTCCTTCCGTCGGTCCACTTTTTTCCTTTTATCCTAATATACTTAAGTATTCGTTAATTTGTTTGAAAGTTCATCTTTTTCATCCGTACATTTATCCGCCCTTTTCTCTTTAGGTATATTTATATGTTTATATATATATATGGTTCACTGTTTATGTCTACCTTTTTGTCTGTGTAACTTTTGTTTATTTTTTTACCTAATTTATTTCTTTAACTCTACTTGTTTCTCTCTCTCTCTTTCTCCCTTTTATTTTGCATACATTTTAACGCAAGTTTACTCAGTTTATTTTGTCTTTTCTAATTATATGTTCCCCCACTCACTCTATCTTATGATTTATTTATGTACACAAATTTTGCAAGCGTTTCTACGCTTTACATATAGTTATAAGACAACAACTCAGTGTATCTGTTTTCTATAGCTCAACGAAATAAGCCCGAAGCTGACATCTGTTTAGCTGTAACACTCTATCATTCCGGCCAAAACAAGCTACCTACATCAATCAGAACTAGAACTTAACTTAGTAAATAATGTAGCTAATTTAATATACCGGTCTACCTGGGAGCATACAGAGTCATACATCAGGAACTCAGTTGTGTACCCTCGTTGTTATCGACATTATATGGATCTCTTAAGATGACTATGGAGAGTCTTAGTAATATGGAAATGCTTAAGTTTAGCTGATTTCTAATTAAATCTTGCAGAAAGTCTTGACTGAATATAATAGAAGTTAAATAAACTTTGGATTTCAAGAGAAAAATAAGAGATGTATTAGTTCATTTGAAAATATCTTTCCTAATAAACTATGTTTAAGCTTTATATTCAACATTTTAAAAATTGTTAGCTATCTTCACTTTTGCTATTCATTTCTCTAAATACTCAACTCTTCAACTGTTGTTATTTTACATTATAACTTCAGTAAATGCGCTAGATTTTGAGTTTTTTGCTGTCAAACTAGCAGGTAGTAGTTTATCAGTGCTGTTATTTTTCTTAAGACCAACAAAATATTTTCAAACTTATCTCAATAGGAACGTAAGTAGAGACTAAGCTTGCATATGGCTCGGAAAAGATATAATGTTTGCTTGTGAATATTGTCAGCTGTTGACGAATAAACTCTGAGAGAAAAACAAAAGAAGTGAAAACAAAACTGAAACTAAAAAAAAGACCCTTAAGCAAATGTAATTTTAACAGCGTGAATTAACTTGGTAGGAACATTGCAATAACGTGTTGTAATTTTTGGTTGTCGGTTTAGGTTTTAATAATTTCTAAACACGGAAAAATGATCTGTTAATTATAAACACAAAGCGCAATTTGAGAATTAATGTAAATATGTATAAAGATCAGGATGTGTCAAAGGGAAATATAAAACAACAGGGATTTTCACGTCGTTACATTTGTACCATCGAACACAAGGTGAGGGTAGGAGGAATTGGATGATGTTTTATATTGCTAGTTTTGATATGTTGATGGAGTAATTCAATTGTCATTTGTTTCATGGTTTGACATTTTATTGTAGACATCTTATATTCTATTACAATATCTATATAAATAACTGAATATCGTTGAGAGCTTTAATATCAACATCGGAAGATACATTTTTACTAATCATCCCTAGTGGCTATTTGTAATACTCTGCCTTAATTATTTGTTTATTTGAATTGTATTATGTTTCATTATCAGCAGGTTTCATCCTATAGATTATAGTTTCAGATCTGAAATTTTATTGGTTTAAGCATCCACATCTGGCGGTAATGTTTAGTTATATGTTTTTAATGTGTGAGGCTCGCGAAAAGGGGTTAAGCCTAATACATGTTTCATACCAACTGATTTGTAGCCATACTTCCACGTATATTTCTTTACTAAAAATATTTTGTCATTTTAAATGTTGTAGTTTGTACCCTAGCTGGCTTTTACATACAGTGGTGTTGCGTATACCGTTAAAAGAGAATGAATAGGAATAATAGGATGTTGGGAAAGCCTGCTATTTCACATCATTTACTTAATTAGTGTTCAGTTTCATACTTGGAGCATGCTATATTCTCTCACATACAACACTTGGTTAGAACCAAAACATACTTTAAAGCCTATATACACAAAGGTTGAGTACGTTATATTAAAAAGATACTAAAGCCTCACAACGTCGTTACAGTCCATGTCGTCACGATGGTCATACTCTGTCTGACGTGCATCTTGATAATAGCCTTTCAGCATAGTTTTCATTGCAAAAGGCACCATCGTAAGACTGTCATATTCAAAGCACACCACTCCTACGTCTGTGCATTCCGTAATATACCTAGTGTTCGAGGACGACGGTTTCAACAGACTGATCTCATAGAAATCCAGAATAATAGCATGAAATAAACGTTGATTGAACAAGATATGTCATGGAAGCAGCTGCTTTTCCAAATGGAGATCCTTTTTGAATATGTTGTCTACTGCTGCCTGGGCTTTTGCCACTACTCTTTGTGTTTTTAGTTACCACTTTTGGTTATACGACTTGCTGTAGGTCTCATCCTGGATCATCCTTATGTTCCAAACTGATCCATATATCTTTTTTTAAGTGTCATTGAGTTCAAGGAATATTCCTGACTTGAAAATTCTAAACCCCCAATCTGAACACAGTTTTATGATCTGAGTGTATGAATATTTTATATTGAAACTGTCTATAACATAACCTTTCCAAAAGCGATAACGTTTCGGTGGCATAATACTACATGGTTCTTATATAGGCAGTTCTACCGCGACTTTATATCGACTATGGTTAACATGTAATTTGCATTTTCAAAACCGTTTAAGCATAACGGACGCAATCTTCTGTAGCTACTTTAAATTCACAGATTTTTTTTTTCCAGAACATCTCTTTTATATGACTCATTCGCATTTTTTTCTGCATTAAAAAACAAAATGCATTATTGTTATTTTTTGAATACTTTCATTCATTCTTTTTTTACGAAGCGCAGAGCTACACAATGGGTTATCTGTAAATGTGCTCACCGCGTGTATCGAAACCCGATTTTTAAAGCAATAAGTCCTCAGACTTTTCACTGAGCCATCGGGGTAGGGGAGGAGTCTTTTTGAATACATAGAAACTTTTGCATATATTTGATTTGCATGTTTGTTTGTTTGAAGTTAAGCACAAAGCTGCACAATGGGCTATCTGTGCTCTGCCCACCACGGGTATCGAAACCCGGTTTATAGCGTTGTAAGTCCGCAAACATACCGCTGTGCCACTGGGGAGCATTTGATTTGCAAGAACGTTTATGAAAAACCATATTTTTCCTAACATTACTTCACGAAATAATTAGGTGGAATTTTATAATGTCATTCATAGAAAATTTAAAACCCAATTCAATTCTTCCGTAAAGTAACTTCTTAGTATTTTTTTAATTATAAAACAACGTTCTCCGGGGGTCTGTAGGGGGTCTAAACTCGTATTTGATCGTATGTTTTAATTTGTTCTTAGCCTATTCAAAAGCACAGCTTACCAAATCTTAAGCTTTTTATAGATGCATTATTTTCTATTCAATAAACATTTATAGCATTCTTATAGTTTCAAAATTTCATGAATAAAACTATTAGATAACAGTTTTGACCTTATTTTTGTATTAGCATATTGTAAGAATGAAACTCATACAGCTAAGAAAAAAATTATTTTTCTCATAAAACCAAAATCCGTGTTCTAACATCAAAGTGATATTAAACGTTATTCAGTCCATTAGATATGATAGGTAGAAATAAAATTGAATATACCATTATTATTTGAAATTAGTCCTCGCAAATATCTTTATTTAACAAGATATATTATGGTTCTAAACACGTTGCTGAATGATTTAAGAACATTCCGCAATAGTGGCGTTATCAAAATTATATTAACATTGTGAGCAACTGGTCGAAATTGAAAGTACTGTAGAAAGAACAACACAACCTTTTGATTCAAGGAATATTTCAATTCTCGAAGAATAAAACTCGCATTAACCACCATTAGTCAACAAATATAATTTTTCTACTTACTTGTAAGATAGTTTCCTCCTTCTCCTAGCTATTTTCGAAACCCGTTATTTTCTGTTAATCTAAAAATTCATTTATAATGTCAGCCAACGCAAGAATAATCTTGTTCTAAACATTACTCGTTTTTCACAGTTTACTTTTAAACCAAACATACATTCCAGCAGAATGCTGCACAAAAGTTTCATTTGACGTTCTTACAACGAAGTTGATCTTTTCCAGAATGATTACAAATAGTAAGAAGAACATTAAAGAACATATATTATTTAAATCAGTAACGAGTCTCTTTTAATATAGGAGCCTTAAGTTATGAAGCTGTTCTACCACGCTTTTATATAACATTCTTTTACAAGCAACATATAATGTTTTATTAAGTTCAAGTTTTATTTTAATAATTGTATAACGTCTAATCATAAAACATGCTGTATAGTCTTAAATAATTGGTTCGGTTCCTCAAGATGTTTGTTTTGGAGACTTCAGCGTATAAATGTGTTAATTTTTATTTATTTTAAAGCAAAGACACATTGAGCTATCTGCTGTGTCCACCGGTGAGGGAAGAGGGAGGGGGAATTGACATAAATCTAATACTCTTTGTAGTCGTTACTTTCGGTGAATTTTGAAATTTATGTCAGCTAACGTTTTTCATCACAATAAATTTCAACATTATGGTACTTTTTTAAGTTTCTTGACATAAATACAATTAAGGCAATAGACACAAGATCGTCCATGTTGAAATTTTGATTAACAATCTCAAGAGTTTTACACACTAAATGGAAATCGAAGACACGATATTTTCTTAAAAGGTTGGCATAATTAGGACTCCAGGGCGAAGTTCATTGTTAGTACAGATTATTAACATAGATATGTTAAATTAAAACAGTGATCATTAAGTACTATGTTTCATCCCTTCTTAGACACATATATGGATAGTTTGACATTTAGGAATATAGCTAGAAATTGATTGGATGATTTAAATACTTTTGACCACAATAAAGGGCTAGATAAGTGTAATTGTATGCATAAGAATATAAAATACTATTTGTGAAACTCAGACATTACCATCTAGTTGATAAATTATCTTAACCAAACTGTCTTAAACTTTCTAAATGAACATACTAGCTGTTGCACAGTTTGATTTAGATTTGAGTGGCTGAATGTATTGTCTTTACCCTCAACTTGCTTTCATTTCAGTAAAGCTTTTCAAATGGCGTTACAAGATAATTCATTTAACCACAGCAAGGTCAACGCATCATTTCGTTTCTCTACAGCTTTTCAAAACTTTTATCTCGAGTCATTAACATTGTAAGTATTTAGCATTTAATTCTCATAAAGGTAGCATTAAAATGTAATTAAATCAGAACTCCCTCTGGTTAATGACCAAAGTTTACATGTTTTGTTTCTAAGCATTGTCTAATCCCAACCTCTTTAAATATAAGAGCTGAATTTTAATTCATAGAGATGATCAAATGATATTTATTAAATACTCCTAATAATAACTGATCTATAAGCGATATTACACTGTAATTTCTCACAGATAATACTTTTTATTGATAAATTATAGAATTTTCGATAAATATAAAAGATAGGCATTCATAAACGTCCTAACGCTTGCTTTTTCCTTTTACTCAAATTTAGAAAATCATTTGAACAAATTAATTTATTTAAAAAAGTGGTTACCTTTTTGATAATTTCTATTAATATATTAATATTTTACAAGTAAAAATAAATTAAGTAAATATATATAATATGATGCACCATCGTGAGGAAACTTTAAATCATTAAACGCCAGCAACGTTTCAAATATTAATATGTCTGAATCTGTAAGATTAGCATAAATACTATGAAAATTACGATGAAGTTTCTCAGAAAAGATTGAAAGCTTTTCTCTTATTCTATAGTTTAGAAATCATCTCATTATTTTGATTGAACAACAACAGTCAGACTTTAGTCTATTGTCTCCTAGAAAACCAGTATTCTGTTCTTGCATGTGTAAATATTTTGTAATTATTCATTTTAAGAGACATACTTACACTTTTCAAATCATACTGTTTGATACTGAAGAATATTAAACTTAAATTTCAGTTGCAAGTTATACAAGTTTCAACAGCATACCTAAAGTTAATATTTCAAGATAGTTGTCTGAGAATAATACTCTTACATTCTTGAGTATGAAACTATAATGTTTCGAACTTTACTAAAAAAAACTCTTTATACTCTTGAGTTGTTTGTTTTTGTTATATCAATGCCACATTTGGCTATCTACTATGTCCACCGAGGGAAATCGAACCCCAGATTTTAGCGCTGTAAATATATAAACTGTTCCACCTACACTCCTCAGTATGAAACCGTAATTTTTCGAAGTAACCTTACTAAAGAATGGGTATTTCGTTATCAATGTGAAACCCTGAAACTTTTATGTTATATCCATCAAGCTCATTATTTTGAACCACATTTAATTAACATGGGAAACATAGTGGTTACCGTAATTAAATGAGGAGAGAAACAAATAGGTATAGTTTTGAAAGACAAGAAATAAAAGAAACTATTGAAATGTATTGTACTTGACGAGTTCACATTCATGTGTTATGTGTGAAATGAAACTATCTGCTCACTAGGTTTTATTTATGTGAGTAGTTTGTCAGTACTGTAAAGCACTGAATGCTTTCTATAATCATGTCTTGTCCAGTTTCACGTTCAATCTGAAATTTAGGAAACTACATTTTTCAAATATCTTCTACAAAAGAAATATTCGTCATTACTAATAAATTTAACAGTATTAATAAACATTGTCATGCATTTTTCACCTCTTGTCTATGTATTAAACCTCATTGTTTTACAGAGCTAGGTCAGGTCTGTGATTAACATTCTAAAATAAATTTTATACTCAAAATGATATAACGACTTCATAGATTAATTTTTTTTAAATATTTTATCAATCCAATATTTTAATAAACTATTTATCTAAAAATCAGTATTATACACAACTGATTATAAGCATTATAAAAAGTCTATTAACTCATGTTTTCTCTTCTTATGGAATAGCTGAGGTTTTACTTAGCTTGTTCGAGGATATAGTGCAAAAACAAAGAGAAAGAAATACGTGGAACAACATTTTTTCTGACGTCTTGATCTTTTTCTATGAAAATTACTTTTATTAGGGAGTTGTCGTCCATTCAGAATATTAAAGACAAAATCACGACTTAGCGGTAGCAGAAGCTGACGATATTGTAAAATTACAACAAAGCATACTTTCGGATGGTATACATCTCAAAAGACCAATTCCATTCATCACACCAGCTGTCATTTCAGGAGCCGCACTGGTGGGAGATTCGAGGGGCGATCAAGCTGTGCTTCTAAGGAGGTTATATGACCAAAGTTTTATGTCATTTTCCATTCTTCTGCGGAGTGATGTTTCCTTCGTTTTTTTTTACTGAGCTCAAGTAAAAAAATCAACTTTGGTCAAACGATATAACATCTTTTACTTTGAAAACTCCTCTCACTTCAGAATTTATCTAACTTTTGAATAAGAAAATACAAACAAACTCTGATGTCTCCAAGAATTGTTTTGTATAATGTTTCAATTTACATCTTCAGCCAAAACTTTATATGACATCGGCTACTTTTATTCCATGATTTATTAGTAACAGGTATATATATTAACAGAAAAAAATTAGGAAATTAATATTATATGTACATACAATAAATTATTAATAAATTGAACTTTAGATTACCCTTCTATCATTTTCTAATATTATCAGATAAATTAAATACATATGCTTTAAAATAGTAGTTAAATAAATGTATAAAATTACACACATAATTCATTTACACAACTACTGTTCTCCTACAGGACACCTAGCATAAGTAAACAAAAGGACAGTTATTTAGATGTATTCCAGTTTCAGAAAGCTCATACTGGTGTTTTTTACAAAAACGCTTATAACACTAATTTGTTTCGCTGTATTATTGTTAATACAAACAGTCGCATCTGGAAACCAGCTAAAAGAATTTTATAGTCACGGTAAAAACAAAACTAAATGAAGGGGTCTCACGAATTTCAAAGATCAATATTTTGAAACGTAATATGATGCTTTACTTGACAATACCTCATACAGACAACTCAAAAATAATTTTTATATCAAAACACACATAACATTCTATAATGTCTCTTTGAAGATGTAAGAAGTAGTAGTGGTAGCTTTCCCAGCCAAAAAAAAAGAAGACAAAAGTAAACACGTCTAGAAATAATACAAACAAAATACAAGAGAAATAAACATCAAGAAACAGTGTAAAAAATCAAAACAGAAACTAATATTAAGAAACTGTACAAAAAACTTGAAACGAATATCAATAAAGAGTACAAAAAACTTGAAACTAATATAAAAAACAGTACAAAAACTTGAAATGAATATCTAAAAACAGTACAAAACTTGAAACTAATATCTATAAACAGTAAAAAAACTTGAAACGAATATCAAGAAACAGTACAAAAAAGTGAAATGAATATCAATAAACGGTACAAAAATATCTTGAGTCGAACATCAAGAAACAACTTAAGAGCAGAAAAGAACGCCAAAAAAATTACAAAGAATAACAGAAATGAACACCAAGAAACATTATAAACAAAATCAGAAACGAACATCAACATAATGGTGTGTCAGTCAGCAGTCTTAAAAATATAACATGATCATTTATTGCTTCTAATATTCTCGGAGCATCGCTATTTTTATTTCGTGTTCTGTCTGTAGCCTCTGAATTTTTATTACTCCTACTTACTCAAAAGAAAAACGCTAAGAAGGTTTGGGTAATTTGAGCCACAAAGGATTATTAAAGAATATAAAATTCATAATAGATGTTTTTATTCTTCCAGACAAAAAAGCAACAAATATAATTCAATATTATCATTTTTACTTCGTTCGCTTTTACATTCTCAAACATTTACAGATTTTTTTGCTACTGCGCTTTTTGTTTCCAGTTTCTTTATAAAGTGAATCTTTTCGTTCTTATCTCTGATGATTTAGTATGCTTTTCCACTAGGACCAACTTTACTTTTTCATATAAGTCT